ATGCAGTATAAACAATTACACATAATGTAGTTTACACATAAAAAATTTTTTATTTTTCAATAAGAAGTCACTTAAGGCTAAAATTTTGCTACTGTGTGTTTTATATATATATATATATATATATATATATATATTAACAATACAGTTTATTTTTGTTCAGCTGTGCAGAAACTCACTGTGTTTGTCTGCACAACAGAGTCTTGTATCAGGCATTGTCCATCAGAGAGGATACTGGTGGATATCAGTTGCTGCATAGTTTCTATAAAACACCACCAGAAAGTATTTTATGATTATATCTCAAAACTCATTGTTTAAACAGCACATAACAACTGAACACACTCACCTGAGCTGTTTTGGTGCCCACAAAGTCCACTCATACCCTCCACTAAATCCTGGTCCAGTTGCACCTACAAGAGATGTGCTCAAAGATTACATACAAAATACAATACGGCCAGGGTCGTTATAAAGTGATAACCACATATGTTTATTCTTTTGGTTAAATCAACAATGCTACATAAAGAATTTTGTAATCTTGCAGACCATTGTCTTTAATGATAACTCACCCAAAGCGAACTGACACCATTAGCTACACTGTACCATGTGACAGACACTGGCAAAACTTTGCTTTGGAGCCTGGTATAGATTCCATAATGAAACACATGCTGATAGGTTTGGTCGTATGGAAGGGAAATACTGTGAAAAGATTAGCAAATATTGTATGCGGATATATTAACAATCAACATTTTTATTGATAAATACTACGAATGTAGTCAACATATTTATTTACATGCTCCAAACCCCGAATTCAGAAAACTCTGTGACTTTAATTCTAAGTCAAATATAACATTGTTATAATCAAATACAATATAATATTATAACTACAACATTTTTAAGCTCCTTGGACAAGATGAACAACCCTTTTAAACTCAAATCTAAATTTTGGTCACAAATGTGACTCATAAATCCCATACCTGCTGCCTTCCACAGTCACAGTGTTATTGTGAATGAGGGTTGTGATTTTATTTATGATAATCTCCACTCTGTCCATCAGGCCATTCAGTCCACGCTGGACGATGATATGACAGTCCACTCCAGCATGACTGAAGTGTGTAAGCGTTACAGGACATGTAGTCTTCAGATGAAACGCAGTTTTGTTGAAGGTATAATAGATGCCACTGCCATATGTCTTACATACATCTGAAAAAAGAACCCAAATAAATATTGATCTTATTTGGGACAACAGCTCTTTGTGTGTTTATTTATTTATTTGTTTGTTTACTTATTTACTGAACATGTGACAAGTGATTAGTCTCAAAAAACACAACAAAACAAAATCTAATTTCCCAGGAATATTGACAAATATTGGACATGCTATTAACATAATTGGACATGATCAATTATGTATTAAAGTAGATAAAATGCAATACTTTCTTACTTTGAGCTGTAAACACAGAATGAATGTGGCCTGTAAATAAAAGCAGAAAAAAAAAAATCCTCAAGATTTGTACCACATCTAGCCATACATAAAACATAATATCGACAACAACAATAATAATGATAATAATAATAAAATAATGTTTAATAAAAAAGAACTGGATAATAAATAATAATCAGTCAATGTAATAAAGTACTTAAAAATGACATGCATTTAAATGTAATATTACTTTAATCCATTAGATTAAATTATATAAATAATTTATTAAAGTAATCAAGATGAGCTAACCTGAGAATACAATGATTATTCCTAAAAGTGCTGCCTCTCGCAGAGCCATGCTGTCCAATAGATATTTGGTGCAGAACTGTTTTAGGACTACAGAAATTCTTCTCGCAGCCCTTTTATGATGAGATCCACTTCACTAATTTGAATAACATGAGGAAACAGCCTCTAGATTAAACATTGACTGTATTCACATTAACTAATAAGGGGGTATGGAACACAAAAGCTTAACAAAGGGCCTTTTATGTGCTCACATTAGACAACCGTCGAGAACATCCAAAGATTAATGTTGAAAATCCCTTTATTTGGAACTGCTTTGTTGTTTAGCTGTAATGGTGTGTAGGTCATATTCTATTTGACATTGTACCTGGTTCTGCTCTGTGAACAGGTGGATTTGATTTCAGGAACAGAAATACTATTAGGTTCCTGTTGAGAATATGACCTCAAAACTCAATCACGGAAAATGCCAATCTCCTGTCAAATGTGTGTTTAAAGAACATAATATGTAACTCTAATCCCAAACCTGGCTATTTATTGATGTAAGTTTCCTTATCGACATCATCAAAACTTTAAAACTGCTTTAAGAAAAAAATTTTTTTATATTGTTTATATTATATATATTTTTGTTTTAAGGAAAATAAATAAAAATAAACAAATAAATAAACAGGTTGCATTGTAGTCTTGTGCAATTAGAGTTGTGATACACATTACATCATTTATAACCTGTTAGCTAAAAAGTCTTCCATTCAATTTTCTTTTTTTTCTTTTTTTTCAAATAGGTGAATTATTACATCCTTCTGCTCCAGGATAAAAAGACAATTATGCATGTACATGCCAAGAACCAGAAAAGATCCTTATAGCAACATGACTATTAAATTGTGATAGAGGGTTAATATTAGATAAATATTACCTAAACAGATAATGCTAGTTAAGGACATCCTTTGGAAGTGTTTAAAACAACATTCAATGGTATTATTATATATGTAAAAAAAAACAACAACATAAAAATGTCAAAAGCTAGACATATATTTATGGGTGTGTTTAATTTTATATTCTGTTATTAAGTTGTAAATAAAACAAAGATTATTGGAGTAGGTTTTCTCCGAGATCATTGGAAAATACTTTTTTTCCGTCAGTGTGTGTGTTGGTGGGTGTGTTAAAAAATCATACCCAAATATGTCAGCTGTCCTTGAACACCAAAGCCATTGCCTAAAAATGTTTTCCCAATAATCACTACTGTACAACAGTCAAGAGACTTGTGAGGAGTTTATAGGTGCCATTTACAAGGTCTATTCTGTCCAGCAGGTGGCAATGTATCTGTTTGTCTGGTCTAAGGCGGTGTTGTCTCATCTATGGTATAAATCCAATCTGCAATTATTCCATACTGTTATAGTAAGCAGAGATAAACATGTTGAGAATACCTTAAAATAATCAGTCCACAAAGCTGCATCCAAATGCAAAAAGTAGTGTTTTTTTTTCAGAATGTAAGCTAATCATCAACAATCACTTCATCAGCACAAGCTGTGTCCAAGCTTATTCGTGTTCTCAGTGAAATAGTGTTGATTTACAATCAATTCCTATAATCGAAATAACCACACTCATGGAGCATACTCACCCTAGATTAGCACTATTATCATGAGAAGTCGGTAACCTAGGCGACTGTTTGAAAACATGAAGGGTAGAATACTAAATGCTCAGTACGGCTTCTGGTGGAATACTACTGAACCATGAAAAAGAAACATTAAAACCATTGAAAGGTGAAGTGAATAACACTGATCATTACAATGGCACCTTTTAAGAGGTGGGATATATTAGGCAGCAAGTGAACAGTCAGTTCTGCTGGGAAACCTTGGGTTGAGCATCTTATGGGATGTTCTGGACCAACAAATCCGATCCATTGAGGCCCCACGTTGTAAATGTCTTTCAGAAGTCTTGTGGAGTCCATCACATCAGAGCTGTTTTGGCAGCACAAAGCAGACCTACATAATATTTGGCAGGTGGTTTTAATGTTGTGACTGATCAGATTGTATACTCTTATGATGAAATTTCAGAAGATGTAGATAGTAATGAATACATCTGCCATAATTATTAATATGGTAAGAATTGAACGATATAGTGTTTTTATTATTATTATGGCTTTATTATCTTTTTATCTTTATTTTCATGGATCCTCCCTGTTTAGTTGTGTCTGTATGTTTTTCACAGTTTATACAAAAATATTATATATTGATATATTGAGAAGCACAACTTTGATAATACAGTAAGAACAATTTTGAGTTCATGAACTCTATAAATTAAATGATGTTTCATTAAATTACCATACTTCAGCTAATTATATGTAAGCGTGAACTCGTGAAACAGTGTTCACTAAACCACTTCATATAATTCCTTGCGTGTAAAAACAACCAAGGCCAAAACAGACACTGAAAGTGACACATCCCCTTAAAGGGATAGTTCACCCAAAAATGAAAATGCTGTCATTAATTAATCTCACCTTCATGTCGTTTCAAACCCGTAAGTCCTTCGTTCATCTTCGGAACACAAATTAAGATATTTTTGATGGAATCTGAGAGCTGTCTGACCCTGCATAGACAGCAACGCAACTGAAATGTTCCCAAGTCCAGAAACGTAGCTCGTCTCCTCCGCATCACCCTGTAACACCATTTTGGAGAGTATCAGCTGGATGTAAACAGCATATGCTGTTCTGTGTCAGCTGCGTCACGCCGGATCTGTTTCCTACGTTGTTGTGATTTGATCTGAACGAAAACAGCGTATCCATGTGACGCAGCTGCGCACAGGGTGAAGACGGCACTCTCCAGGGACTTTCCATCTCTTCCTCCACTCCACCGACCAGCAGGATCGAAGTGCGGGAACACCAGGGCTGGCTGTACCGGCGGATCCAGAAGGGGGACGACATCTACAAAATCCAGCTTGTCGTCCCTAAGAAGCTGGTCCAGCAGATGGTACAGCACTTCCACCAGAGGACAGCAGAGAAACACCATGGACGTCTAAAGACCCTACTGCAGATCCTGGGAGTTGCCAGGTGGCCTTCGGTCCACAGCGACGTCTGGAGGTTTGTCGAGAGCTGCAAGTCGTGTGGTGTGGAGGCCAAGAAGTGTGCTGTCATCAACCCTAGCAACAAACCACCTCATCATCCACCTCATCATCCACCTCATCCCCGTTCATCAGCATCAACAACATCATCCACCAAAGAGACCCGCAAGCCGGATAGGAAGAAACGCCAGGGGGGCTGGCGGACCATCATGGCTGGGTGCAACATAATCCTGGGAGGAGCGGTGCCACCTACCCAAGGATGCCCAGGCTGGTATCGAATTCCACCTCTCTCTAGTGTTAGCTTAGATTCCTCCGGCAGACTAGTGCCTGTGTGGGAGGGCCTAGTTTTATCTAACCTTTTACAAAGACATTTTAGAGCAGAGGTCCCCAACCACCAGGTCGCGACCCACTACCGGGCCATGGAAGAATTGCTACCAGGTCGTAAGAACGTTCTGGGAAAAATATGTATAGATATGACACTCTGTTATTTATTTATGTTAATGATTGTTCTAATTATTATGTATTTTCATTGTATGCAATTGATATGGAGTATAGTTCCATACCATTAAAACAGTCCTATAATACTATATAATAGCCTAATATATATATATATATATATATATTCACTTTATATATTTCTTAAGGACTGTTTTAATGGTATGGAACTGAAAGACTAGGATTTCTATTTTTACTGTGTTGTTTTAGGTCCACTGTGAATATTGTAAATACATATTTGATTTTCACTTTTAATATTGTTGTCTGTCTCATCTTTTTAAACACTCAAAGTTCTCGCACAGTATAATCTGACCCCATTTTAACAATTGTAAATTCGACCCATAGGGCCGAACGTTACAAGTATTCACATAATAATTGATCGTTTTCAGTGATTGAGTCTTAACATTTTAGCCCAACAGTGTTGAGCAATTGGTTATATTCTTTGACACAGAAACACACTTGCAAATACTGTACAAATGAAAGTGTAGTGAGTATCTATCATCTTTAAGCAGTGTTTACAAAAATAACTTTGCATCTAGTTCTTTACCTAGTGAGACCAGCTGTCTGATGGGCCAATGCACCTACATCAAAGGAAAAATGTTGTTGATTTAACTGATTGCACAGCTAGAACTGATCTTGTGTCAGTTGAAAGCCGCTAATACGACCATAAGACGAAAGGCAAGACGAATGGCAACGATCAATCAATACTCTCAACCTCAAAATAAGCTCTTTTGTAAAGAGACAGATTACCCATTATGTACAAATACAAGCTCAAGAATGTGTGTGTGTGTGTGTGTGTGTGTGTGTGTGTGTGTGTTTTCCAGGCTGTCGCTATGAATGCTGGGATAATCAGATTATAAACAATCAGCAAATACTGATATGCTATTATCAACAATTATGTGTATGAAGTCATTAAGAGGCATATGAAACCACTCGAGTCATATTGATTCTCAAGAGATTCTCAAGAGCACGACCAAACAATATCTTTCGGAGATTGTAGAATCTCATATCAGTAATTCCCCACTATACTTGAATCAATAAAAATAAAGAGCATTCATTAGCACTTCAGTTGATCAAACAGTTTTGATCAACAGCTCTACTCAGTATATTTCATTTCCTGCTCTTTGGCGATAGAAACCCCGCTCAGAGCATTCAACCCACACTTAAAAGCTCCACTTGGCCAATCAAATTTGAAGACAAGGAATAGAACTAAATATGTAAAAAAAAATATATATTTAGGCCTAAATTTGTGTATTTATTTGAATCGTATATAAAATTTCAACAAACCCACACTTAAAAGCTCCACTTCCATTTTCAAGAAAAAATGTGAAATGTGACAATGTGAATTTAAACCTAGTGGTTGTCCAAAAACATACAAATAAAATTGTACAAATGCATAGCCATCAAGTCACCAAAATAGTGGTTGTACAAATTCATAGCCATTAAGTCACCAAAATATAAAAATGTTATGAATTGCCATGAACAAGCACACTCCTGGCAAACCTC